AGGGTCCCATTTCTTTTCCCTGTCTTGTTTATAGCCCATAAAGGACTTAAACAACAAGAATTTATCCAGTTCTCTTTTAAAATCTGTTATAGTCCTAGCCTTCACAACCTTCTCAGGTAAGGAGTTCCACAAGTTGACTGTGGACAGTGGCCTATAAGAAAGGAGAAATCTAGTGGATAAGGTGGGGTTTCACAGAGGCTGCCATGTTAATTGTAGCCCAGCTCAGCTAGTGCCCAGGAATCCGCAACACAGCGTGAGAAGCAGAAAACAGTGGGGTGTGCTTGGGTGGCTCAGAAGGAAGCTGTACTTTAGGGACGGCTGCAACGGGGCCCTTTTCCTTTCTGTGCCCAGCCCAGCCGCATCTAGAACGCCGCACAGAATCTTTCTGGGCAAAACCTACCCCCCATACAGAGCACCAGCAGGAGGCATAGGGCACCAGCTGGGCCCTCAAAATGAGCAGGACCAGGCGTCTTATTAACTCTCTGCCCAGGGGTGAATTCAGCTCTGCCGGTGAAAAGCTAACAGGGCGAAACTCACCAGTGACTTAAGCAAATGCAACTTCACTTACTTTGTTGGAATTCCACCCACTTAGGCCAGTGGGGAATTAACCCCAATGTCTCTTGCAACACCTGTATCCTCTTTAAGCAGCCCCTGCTGCAAGGAACGTGTTTATAGCTGAAGCATTCGTAGCTGATGTGTGCTGGAGGGATCAAAGAAGCCAGGTGTCCCGGATCCACAGAATCAGTGCTACGCCCCCAGCTCTGGAACAGGCTCTGGGAGGAACCCCTTTGATGTGCTAGGCCCTCAAGGGGTCTCACTCTTCCTTAGGGTAGGCCATGCAGCCTCCCCACCCTCTGAAACCGAACCTCTGGGCTTCAGCGCTGCTGCTTCGCACCCTGAGCTGTGCTTAGCGAGTCCAGCGGAGACAGACTCCGGGTAGAGACTTGTCTGGACCAATGCACCTCCCCAGTATTTGGAGTGACACGCGAGCAGCATTTTCAAAACAGCGTAGGATTTGAGAGTCACCTGGACCATAGCAATGGAAGCCCTTAGGTTAGCACAGAGAAATAAAGGCCCATTCTGGTCAACCCAGAGCAATTCCCCTTTCCATGTTTGTGCATCTCTGGTTAGACTTGAAGCCAAAAATAAATCCCCAACCCACCTTGAAAAAGCAGTTCTCTCCCCCCGCCAAGCATGGCATTTTCCCATGCAAAAATAACACCACAGACTCTGTTTTGTTTCTTTACGGTAGAATCTTGCTAATTAGCCCTGATGACTGGGGGACTCGTTCCAAAGTGACTGAAATTTGACAACTAGCAAATCAACAAAAACGTACTTAAAATAATCATCCTCAAGACTGCAGCGGTGTGAAATGTCTTTTGTTCATTCATGTTAACCCTTGCAGTTCACTTTAATACTAATCCGGCTTCATTCTGCACCAGCAGATAAATCAGCTGTGAACATTTTGCAGCTCAGACACAAATGATCGGATGCCATTCCTGCTGAGGAACTGATCTCGTGCCCAAATCAGTGGAGATATTCCCATTGATTTCCCTGGGCACTGGATCACGCAGTCTTCCAAGGCGGAAGTCTCTGGGCAAAGGGAGGTGGATTTACTAGTGCAAATTGGGAGTTTTTCTTTGGCAGTCAGTTGACTTACCCATGTGTAAAATGGGCATGAGAGAGGAGAAACAGACACAGATCTACCCTTTATCTGGATGATAAGAGCACCATCAGAGAAAGATGGAGTAGGATTTTGCAAAGCCTCACTGTTGTATATTGTGTAAATTAGGTCTGATCGACAGTTAACTCTGTGCTGAAAGTGGGGAGAGGTTGCCAGCAGTTTGTATTTTGGGGGAGGTGGCCGTGGTTATCTCCGCCGATCAGCACAGTGAGAGTCGACTGTGTTCGTTTTTATTTTCCAGCCCACATCCCCATATTCAGAAATGCATCAGATACAGAGCAGAGCATGGACAGGGAGTAATCTTACTAGCTGCTTTCTTTAGCTTTTCCTAGCTACTCTCTTCTCTGCCTTTTCCCCTGCATAATTACTGCTCTTACAGATGTTTCTGTTAAGTATCCTCCTGGATTCCGCAGCCCTCCTTGGTGACATCAGTTGTCATGGCACAAGAAAGGAGGCGGCTGGGGAAACGGAGCAGGATGGCTTGAAACAAACGCACGCATACGGATCTGACTCCTTATTGTCCACTCTCTACCCATGTAGTTCTCGTTGTCATTTTTAGAGCGATGTGATTGCATTTGATTTCCGTCTCTCCTTTATTTTACAAGGGGGGACCCAATTGCCTCTCTAACTGCGTTAACTCCGTTACAGGCCAGAGGACAGGTGCTTTCCTAGGTATGGAGTGTGACAATAACAATGACATTGACATCGCGAGCGTGAAAGCGCTGGACAATAAGCTGTGCTCTGAGGCCTGCTTCCCTGGTGAGTGGCAGTCAGCTGAACATGAACTTTGGTTGGGGGAGGAGGGGACAGCATTTCCACTCTCCCTATCTCTCACTCCCCACTCCTGTCCCGCTGCAACAGGCATGTGTGTGTGTGTGTGTAGCTAGGCAGCCGGGAGCAGTAGATCATCTGGAAACAGGCTGAAGATGTTCCATTGTAGTGCCCACCTTCTTATGAGCATAGTCCTGGATCAGGGCCGCTGGGGCAGGGAAGGACTGCAAGTCTCCTGCTCCCGCTCGAGTTGTCATGGAAGGCTGTGAAATGAATTCTTTGCCTCTATTGACCAGAGTGGCCAGTAGGTCTCGGCCGTCTGTTGCTTACTGGGTGAGCCCTGAAGCCAAACCAGCCCCGCCTCCTTTTCAAACCATGCAGCCCTCAGGTGAGAGGGTGGGATAGGGAGCTGGGGCCTGTAGCCCAACACCGTATTTTGTAGCCAGACAGGGCTGGGCCATGGGAGAAGATCAGTGATCTCCCCTTTCCTGACTGCTCCCAAACCTGCTGTTCTGGGCCTCTAAGGAAAAGGGTCCAAAAGGGAACCTAGAAATACACCGTAGGACAAACCTCTTAGGAGGCCGAGTGGCGGGAGGTCCTGTGAGAAGCTTTGCTCTTCTCCCGGTTTTGTCAGCGCTCGCTGAGCGTGAGTGAGGAATGATGCTGGCTTGGTGGGGGTTTCTACCCGCCTAGGCAGCTTTGCTAGTTTATGGAGGAGGGTTGTTGGATGATCATCGTTTGTTTATTTACCAGCCAGTGTCTGCCTTTGGGTCCCACCTTCCCAGTGAAGAGCCCCCATGTTGTAACATGCAGTTATGCACCTTAGCCTGCAGTGCAGTGAAAAGCGGCTTTGGTCTGGTCATGCGGACAGGAGCCAGGCTTTATCCACGGTCCTGAATCATGCTTAAATCCCGCAAGGTGGGAACGTGGTTCATGCCTGTGTACGCTGCCTGGCCAGACTGGGTCTCAACTGGGACGGGGGCTACTGTGTTGTTACTGGTTCTTCTTCCACCACAGTGGCTTTTCATAGTGTAGGCCACATCTTAGTCACAGCAGCGGCGAGTCTGCTGGTTAGATGTCGGAACGTGTGCTGCTTGTAAGCAGAAAATAGATTGTTTTAGTAACACAGGCCTTGATTGGCTGCTGGGGTAAATTGGAGTCGTTCTGTCAGCTTCAACGGAGCCGCACTGATTTGTACCAGCAGCTGATCTGGCTCATAGTCTGTGACATCCAGTAGCCTTCATACTTGGCAAAAGAACAGCACAAAATTCCATCAGGCCCTCTTCCTCCTTCCAAATAAAGAACCAGCCGTGGCCACTGGTCAGTTGCTTCCAGGCATCCTGTAGACCTGTTCTGATCTAAACACCAGTGCTTCAGAAAGTGCCATCCACAAAGTGGGTGAATAGAGGGGTAGCCAATGAATGGGTGTAAACAGTCTAGTTATTGCTGGTTTTACTGTTCCTCCAGTGGAGCTCCCAAAAGACCCATCTCTCCTCCCCACTTCTTAACTCTTTCTCTCTCTCCATTTCTTCCTGCCACATTTTTTTACTAACTACGGGTCCGTCTCTCCTGTATTTGTCTCTTGAGTTTGTTTTCACTGGACTCCATCTGTGTGAAAGTTCATGTTCACTCTGTCCCAACACAGTTTTCTCAATCCATGCTTCTGTCCTTCCCACGCCCAGGGTTGCTCAACGGTCACAAATTTATTGAGAGTCCCTGAACGGGTCTGGATGGGAGTAGGCGTGGGGATTAAAGAATCACACTTCAGAGCTGCTGTGGGATCTTTCCTACGTATCAGGGTTGCTTTCTAAAGTGTCATGGGGGCAAGATGGAATTGTCAGTACAGTGTCAGGGAAAGGGAAAAGAGTAAGAGTGGTGGATCCCAGCGCTGGTTCAAATTCACCCCTTGACAGCACTAGACTGATTTTTGGCCCCATATCAGTAAATTTGTGGACAAGCTGAATGCAACCCTGCCTATCCCTCCCATACACCCCTTCCCCAGATCTGTAAATCAGGTTACTCCCTGACGGCTATAGACCTGACATATTTGGAGAAACCTCCAGACGATCTAGTTTTATTAGCTGTTGTGGGTGGGGGAATCCTTCACCCCACCCAAAAAACGCTGGTGCTTCCTCCTCTCCCGTTGCAGCCGTCCTATTTATGTTACAATTTATTCCACTTGGGTAAATGCAGCCAAGAGGTCGAGATAATATAGGGTCCTGTCATAGAACAGAGCCTGCAGTAAAGGCAGCAAATTGTGCATTCAAATGCCTTTCTCCTGGGCTGGCAGCTGGTTTAAAGCTTCCACATGCAGGGGTGGTGGGAATGATTGGGCCAAATCAGACACTCGGCTCCTTCCCTGTATGCTCCGGATCTGGTAAGAAGTGACTCCACATAGTAGCCCAGAGCCAGGAGCATCCTACCTGAATGTCTTGGTAAGGTGGTGTGGTTGTTACCTTTCTAATCCGGGGTTTTGCTAATGAAGCATGTTGTGGCAGATAAGGAAGGCTGAATAAATACTCAGGGCCAAATTCTGCCGTATTCCACTGCTGTGAATCCAGAGCAACCACATTGGGTTCAGTAGTGTTACTGCCATGATTGGCATCCACGGAACCGAGAGCAGAATCTGGCTCTACAGAGCGGAGCTCCTGCTGGGTTTCATGGTACATGGAGAAGGCCAAATCTAAGGAGCCCTTGTGGAATAAATTGGGCACTGAGTACGCGGCCGCGAGACGTGGTGTCCATCCTCCAGCCTGCATGGCTGTCTGGCGGCTTTGCTGCTTGTGAGTCCCATTGCAGAGCTCTCTCCTGCCTTGAGCGTGGGGCGTGGCACGGGTCTCCTAGCCCTGCTCGGGGCGCTCTGCATCTCTGCTTGAATCCATCTCCTGCTTCAAAGCAGACAGCACTACTCACCTGGGGGAGATGGGGAATGCATACGTGAACCGCAATGGAGCACAGCACCTTAAGGTTGCCTGTCCACAGATACGCACGGTCCCAGCCTCCTCACACGGACCTGCCCGGTGTCTGTGGATCAACTAGGGGCAGAGGCTCTGTGCATGTTCTGAGCCTGAGTTTCCTCTTCTCAACTTGTTCTCCAGTCTCTGACCAACATCCCTCCTTTTCCCCTTCCCCAGAGTGACTCCTAACCTACTCTGTAGAGCTCTTCATGAAAGCCAGCTGGCTTAACAGGGGCTGGGTTTTCATTTTACTCCAGGATCCAATCCTTTATTCTCCCCCTACCTCCTTAGTTCTAAGTTTATTCTATGGGTTTCCTTCCTACAGTGTTTCTTTGGTGAAAAGTTGACTCCGATAATAGATGCTGAGGGTAGGTAGCGTCGATAGAAATACAAATCTCTAGAGATAGATAGAGGAGGTGCAGATGGAAGGGAAGTCAGTCCAGAGAGAATTGGGTTTATTTAGTCTGCAGAAAAGAAGAGTGAGGGGGGATTTGATAGCAGCCTTCAACTACCTGAAGGGGGGTTCCAAAGAGGATGGAGCTCGGCTGTTCTCAGTGGTAGCAGATGACAGAACAAGGAGTAATGGTCTCAAGTTGCAGTAGGGGAGGTCTAGGTTGGATATAGGAAAAACTATTTCATTAGGAGGGTGGTGAAGCACTGGAATGGTTTACCTAGGGAGATGGTGGAATCTCCATCCTTAGAGGTTTTTAAGGCCCAGCTTGACAAAGCGCTGGCTGGGATGATCTAGTTGGGGTTGGTCCTGCTTTGAGCAGGGGGTTGGACTAGATGACCTCCTGAGGTCTCTTCCAACCCTAATCTTCTATGATTCTATGAGAGGAAGTTATGTGATGAATCATGAGGTGAGTGATTCCTGATGGAACAGATGATTCATAGTAGATCTAAGGCCTGATCCAATGACTCCCATTGATTTCAGTGGACATCAGCTCTGGCCTTTATTGAATAGGTTATTGAATCATCAGAGAAAAAGAGCAACTCTTTGCAGTACAGTACAGGCATGCCTAGGCCAGATCCTCCGCTGGTGCACAAGCTCCACTGAAGTCAGTTTCCCACCAGCGGAGGATCTGCCCCACCTATATTCAGGTGTCGATCTTGATGCACAAAAAGAGGTGGAGACAATGAGAAAAATGTCCTGTTTCTTTATCAGTTTCAGTCTCTATTTTATAATACCCCTTCTGCTGTGGGGTTCGCTCTGCCGCACCCATCCCAACCCTGGACTGTCTTCTCTCTGCCTTATGCACCACCAGCAGCAAGAGCTTGGTGTGCATTTAATCTCAATGAATTACCTATTCCAATTTACTTTGCATTGAAACAAAACTGACCTTGAAGACAGCTACGTTTTTTGGAAAGAGATGTGGTTTGCATTCCACACATCCACCTAAAAATTGAGATCATGGATGCAGAAAGCAGCACGCACAGCAAGAAGCAGCCAGCTATTCAGAACAGGGAAAACCTGAGCTTCTCTTCTGCAGATTCAATGCACCCAGCCGCTGTCATAATGTGCACGTCCAACAATTTCAGGAAACTTGCGTGGGCAGCTCTGATTGCGTCCAGGTTACTGGAGGCGATTGAAAGCCGTGACCACGCTACTGTTGAACTGTGTAAGGCTTTGTTTGTCACATTCATGGGGTTTGTGACAAAAACCTTGCCCCTTGTGGTGTTTTCACAAGGCATTGTGGTCTTTCCACCTCCAGGCAGCGCGTGGCTGAGCAATGTTCGGTCAGTTCTCATCAATGTGAATCTGTAAACATCCAGTGTTGTGCAGCATCCAAGAATGACCTGGATTTTTAAATGGTGGAATTTATTTTTTATTGAAAGATAAAGAAATTTGCCCAAAACGGTGTTGACCCCGGGCTCCCCTCCCTGTGTTTTCTGTAATTTGGGGTGTGGGGGTTGGAGGGAGGCTGCCATGTTAAACCAATGACTTTTTTCAATGATAAATGGCCAGCCTTGGAAATAATACATGAAAGCAGAGACACTTGATCACTCCTTTCACTGCTGTGGATGTCTTTC